TCACTTCATAGCTCACAGTGCTCCAGAGAGACCAAAATTTGTTTCTAGTGGTGCTACCCTCAGAGGCTGCCTCAGCTGTTGATGTATCAAATCAGGATGCCCATGTACAACACAGTTACAATTCATAGTGCAGATACTATCTTAACATATATCCTTTAATGATCTATATATAATTTTTTATTCTGCAGTCCTTAAATGCAAGAGAAGAGAGTATTCTGGCAAGTAAAAAGAGTGATTGTGTCTGAATTTATCACACAGCAACTCCTCCAGCCCCATTTTCTTATGCCTGTGCAAATAGGACAGATAGACAAAAGCAAATTGCAGCTTCATTTTGGGCATAAGCAACCAAATTCCATTGCCTAGAAAGTTTCCAAATTTGGGGTGAAGGAAGCGTGAGGAACCAATCTCAGACTCTGCAGGATCCCAAAAGCTGAGCACTCTCTGCCAGCTAGGATCACATAGCAGTGATCTGTTGGGTTTGTAAAGGAGCTGCCCCATGGGTCACCCCAGAAGCACTGAGCAGTGCCACACACAACTGTCCCCTTGTCCTCCATGACTTGCGAGCCTATTCTGTGCCACCAGTATCTCCTCATGGTTATGGTGGGCTGCTTAAGGGGGACTCTTCAAAGCTCCCTGACACTGGCTCTCTAGCGCCCTGCATCTCTGTGCTCCCTGGGGATGAGCAGGGGCCCATACCTTAGGGAAAAAGGGGAAGAAAAGAGACTTGGGGAACCACTTTGCTATAACTAAAAACACCTCTTTGTTTCTAAATTTGAAGGGAAAACCACCTTAGTATGTCTTCATCTTTGAGGTGGACAAATTGAACTGCTGAGTGGTCTTGAGCTGTCTCTTGCTGCATGCCTCTCCTTGCTGGCTGTTTTGCCTCTTCCCTCAAGATCAGAAACCAAGATAATGGAATGGATTGCACGGAGAAGCCTCTAGGGAGGAACCAGCCTAGCACAGGGGAGCAGAGCCAAGGCTTTGAAGAAACTGGGAAGTCAGAGCGTTTTTGACCTAGTTGAAGGAGGGAGAGGGAAGAGAATTCATTACCCAATTGGAAAAAAGAAGAAATCAAAGAAGCAAACACTGGAAACCATCTACAAATACAACTGAAGCAGCAGGCTGTTTACATCACTGCTGCAAGTTGTGTGCTGGACAAGACTTTACTTGTTTAGAACTTCAAGTTCAGCTATGTCAGGGCATATCTGGTATATAAGGGAGACCTTCTCAGTCTTACTGATACTATGGAGAAATTCTTCCAATTGCTGAACTTGTGTTTGGAAGTCCCATTGCTCATATTCCAGATCATACATTGCTTTTTATGTTACTCTTACCAGCTTTGGAGTCGCTACTTTGAAACACTTTGCTGTCTGCTAGTGACAGTCCTGTATATATTCACACCTGAAGGCTTCAATGTTTTCCCATTGCAGTGGATACCAACATGGTATTTACAGCTATTTTAGACTCTTCAGTGACTTTCGGCAGAAACAGAAGTTGCAGAACTTTCTCCACCAAAATGCTAAAGGGCCAGCATCAGACCTGGGACTCCAGGAAAGAAACAGGGCTTTTCACCTCTGCACTTTCACCCATGTTTCACAGAGGTAAGAGCCTGCAAAACATTCAGCCTGATACCTCTGCTCAGGCAACAAGAATTAACAACGTTTGCCCTTCTTTCTCTTTTCTCTTGGTTCTTTTATACCTTGTTTCATTAATCCAGTTGCATGATAACCTGTTGAAAATGCAAGAGGGTTTTGCTCTGCCCCACACTGCAGATGCCCTGAGCTGAGCTTCTTGCTCTGACAACTGCCCACATCAGGGTGTCATTTATGACTGGATTTAGACTTGCTTCCACTGAAACCAGCACAGACAAAATGCTCATAGAATCATAGAATCATAGAATA